ATCAGGATTCCCTTAGCAGGAAAGAAGTTGGGCAATGGCCACTGGGTCGGCAACCAAAAGGATCGTCAGGGCAACCTTGTGAGGTAGAAACTGTCATAGTCCCCTGGATATGAGGTAAAAAAAAAAAAGGTAAAGCTACCCAGGTTCACCATCTATGATGTGATAGAAGTGGGATTCAAAGTGATTGCTCACAATATCTGGGACTATGGTCCGAGAAGATGGCCCATCTGAAATATGCCTTTTCCAAACTCACAGCCTTATCTCTTTTGACGTTGGCTTAATCCTGTCATTGAGTTTGCCTAAAAAGCCTTAAAGAAGTGTTTTTATAGAGCACAGCTAAGGAACTTGGAAGTAATTCTGTACAAGGTTAAATATAATGATTCCTCTCATTAACCTTTACTTTTTTCCTCACTCCCTCACTATAAGTTAATATATTTGTAATATTATGGCAAAAACAATGTAAAGGAATTTTTATATAGGGTTTTCTAGAAATCATGTTTGGGACTTATTTATTTATGTACTAGAGGCCCGGTGCACAAAATTCGTGCATGGGGGTGTATCCCTCAGCCTGGCCTGCACCCTCTCCAATCCGGAACCCCTCGGGGAATGTCTGACTGCTGGTTTAGGCCCGATTCCACCACTGGCTCCTAACCACTCACCTGCCTGCCTGCCTAATGCCCCCAACTGCCCTCCTCTGCCAGCCTGGTCACCCCCAACTGCCCTCCCTGCCAGTCTGATCTCACCCCTAACTGCTCTCCACTACCAGCCTGATCACCCCTAACTGCTTCTTCCTTGGCCCCTACCACCATGGCTTTGTCCAGAAGGAAGTTGGACATCCAGAAGATGGCCAGTGGACTCGGTCTAATTAGCATATTACCCTTTTATTAGTATAGATTAATTCATTCATTTTAATCCTCACCCAAGGATATGTTTGAGAGAGAGAGAGGAAGGGAGACAGAGATAGAGATAGATAGATAGATAGATAGATAGATAGATAGATAGATAGATAGATAGCTAGCTAGCTAGCTTTTGCTTCTGTGTCCCTGTCCCACATCTGGGTCTGTGATCTCCACAAGGCAAAATGAATTAGCTTTTCATTACCAAAAATTTCATGATTGTAGAGATAATAATTATAGTAAGGAAAATAAACTATAGTCTAGAGCAGTGATGGAGAACCTATGACACGCGTGTCAGAGGTGACATGCAAACTCATTTTTTGGTTGATTTTTCTTTGTTAAATGGCATTTAAATATATAAAATAAATATCAAAAATATAAGTCTTTGTTTTACTATGGTTGCAAATATCAAAAAATTTCTATATGTGACACGGCACCAGAGTTAAGTTAGGGTTTTTCAAAATGCCTCAAAAGGTTCACCATCACTGGTCTAGAGAAATCAACAGAAATTCACAGGCCCTTAAGGCTTCCAGAGCTAACTAATTTCTATTGCGTCAGGCTTGAAATATGTTATTAAACTGCAATAGATTTGAATTTCTTTTAAATTCTTAAATTTGGGAGAAGAATCTATTCTTATATAACTATTGGAAAGGGAAGGAGGAATATGAAACCATTCAAACTATACCTGGGAGTATTAGAATGGTATGAAGGTTCCTATATTTGCTGTGCTCCCTCTGAAGGGTACAAAGATAAGAGGATTGCTGATGAATGACTGCTGCATTTCATCCGGAGACCTGAGTGCTCTCACTGCTCTATTCCCTTAGGGGGTCATGTTCCTCTGCTTAAAAGAATATTGCCTGCTCTGTGAGCTAATGATTTGTTTGGAGGATGCGAGTCTCAGAGGTGAAGATAACTGCACAGCTTTTATAATGTATCTTTCAAATCTTTGATCTGCCTTTTTCTGAATACATGGGGCCCCTCTGTAGCAAGATTAAAGACGCCTTTTCTGACAAGAAGGACAACATTTGAAAACCTAAAAGCTGCTCAGACTTCCAAATAATATTTCTGCATTTTGTCAACCTCATACTTGGCGTTGTCCTGCTTTCACGCGATTGATTGCCTGGTAATCAGAATGTGGTGTTGGATCATAGGGTTGTTTTTCTCATATTTTCCAAGGAGGTGGAAACTATGAATCTTGTTTTTATTTTTATTTTTTTAAGTTTTTTAAAAAAATATATTTTATTGATTTTTTTTACAGAGAGGAAGGGAGAGAGATAGAGAGCTAGAAACATCGATGAGAGAGAAACATCGATCAGCTGCCTCCCGCACATCTCCTACTGGGGATGTGCCCGCAACCCAGGTACATGCCCTTGACCGCAATCGAACCTGGGACCTTTCAGTCCGCAGGCCGACGCTCTATCCACTGAGCCAAACCAGTTTCGGCTGAATCTTGTTTTTAAAAGTGGTTAGTGCAAACTAGTTTATGGCTAAGACATACATACTCATTGAATTTTCTTTAATTTGACAAATATTTACCTGCTAGCAAGCAGTTGTTAGACATGTGCCTTCTTTCGTAGGGAACGCCAAGAATCAGAACCTGTTTCCAAGAGGCTCAGATTCCCAATGGGAAGATAAGGCAATTAAAGAAATGGCCAGGATAGTATGCAAAATATGACAAAACGTGTTTGGGATTAATGAATGAGATTCAATGTGGGAACAGAGAGAAAAGATAACATTCAAGTGAGAGGGGAATCAGGGAAGACTTAGCATTTGAGAAGGTCCTTGCAGGATCAGTGAGATGTTTCTAGGGAGTGTTGGGGCTGGAAGTGAGGTGTCTGGGAGGAGGTGGGTAGCTGGAGAGAGAGGTGGTCAGAAAAGGTTGAGAAGCTTGTACTTAATTTATTGGCAGTAGGGAGCCAATGAAGGTTTTTAAGCAGAGCGAAGACAGAAGAATAATAGGAGTTGTGGTTAAGGAAATATTTTGGAAACATTGTGAAGTAGACTTTAAAGCAGGGGTGGGCAAACTTTTTGACTCGAGGGCCACAATGGGTTCTTAAACTGGACCAGAGGGCCGGAACAAAAGTACGGATGGAGTGTTTGTGTGAACTAATATAAATTCAAAGTAAACATCATTACATTAAAGGGTACAGTCTATTTTTTTTTTTTAGTTTTATTCATTTCAAATGGGCCGGATTCGGCCCGCGGGCCGTAGTTTGCCCACGGCTGCTTTAAAGTGTACTTTGAGCTAAAATATTCTTTGTAAACAAGCAATTGTGTTGATAATGTCATACAGGTTTTATTTCTATATAGAACAACTGCCCCTAAAAATGTTAAACACCCTAATAGCATGAGAATTAACTTATTTATATTTGAATCTGAATGATGATTATTTCTCACTTTTACAATGATGTCGCTCATCCATGCATAGATTTCTAATCTTGACCAAATGAATCAGGAAGGGGGTGTACTTTCTTAGCATTCTGGCGAATTTAATCATCTCTAACATATGAATAGCTGAGGTTTTACTCTCCGAATAATAGTTTCAAATGGATTTTTGTTCTATTCCCAAGTCCTTTAGAACACAATGCATTCTTACAAAAACTATGGAGATAAAATATTAAAAAATAGAAAAACAGCTTTATAGAGTAAAGAAAAGTAAAAAGATTTTTTAAAAGTCAAAAGCTGGATTATAGCAATTAGACACATGGCCTTGATCAAAAGCCGGTTTTGAGTATTTTTTTCATGATCATCGTGTGATGGCTAAAGTACATCCAAGGTAAACTTGAAAACATGAGTGACTCAACTTATTCTCTGCCAAACCTTTTATCAAAGCAAGTATTCTACTAGATGGATCGTACTTTCCCCACTTGATCTCCTGGGAAGGAAGAATGAGAAATGAAAGGGGAAGTAACTCTAAACTACAGAACGAACTCCCAAATATATGACAAGACAACATTCAGAAGTAAGCAAAATATGATCAAAAGTGGTTATCAGTAATTACCCATAGTTAACCATAAATATTTTGGGGCACTTGATTGCATTGAAATTCAACAAGCCTTCTGCTTTTAAAGACTTCCTCTTGTTTTTCCTTGCTGTGCATACATTTGGAACGAGACCATTCTTACTTCATAACTAGGGGTCAGACAGTGGTAATTGGTATTTTGCTAATATAAAGAGTCAATAAAATTCATTTGTGCCCAATTTACTGTTTATTCAATGGAGGAAATAAATATCAAGAGAGATTATTGTTTTATCTAAACAAGAAAAAAAAAGAGTTCAAAGGTGGAGATGCTGCTTCATATTACAAAATTTTTCCAAATGATTCCATTTGAGTTATCCCAAAATGTTTAAAATATATTGCTTTGAAAAGTTTGACTTGCAAACCAATAATCATGTAACCCAAGGTCTGTCACAGGCAGTACTGTTTAAAAACAAACAAACCCACCCTAACCTAAAATTCTTAACTGAGGACTAAAGCCTAGTCAAGTTGACAGGCAAAACTGACCCTCTCCCCTACCAAGTTACTTGTTTTAATGGACTATTTTGACTAATTGTCACCAGCAAACATATATAGAGGAAAAAAGTGGCATTGAGTGAAATTACTACCAAATATTGTTGAAGTTAATATTCAAATTTGAATTGACAAAAAATAGGAAAATTCACAACCATCAGAACAGTAAGAATTTAATATTAATCAGCATCTATATACACCTGTTCTTGACAATAAGGCACAACACTGAACATTTAAAAAAAACTTATTTCACAGTCTTCACAACTGATCACTACTTACTGTTGAATATTGAACATCATTGGCCTAAAAAAAAAAAAAGCTTGAGGATGGCCATTTATCAAGTTGAAGGCATCATTCCCATGATTTTATGCTTTCCTTAAAATTGAAGGTATAAGATAGCACAAAAGCACATAAAATATATTCACATAAAGAACAAATAAAATTGCCCATATAATTAAAATCACCAATGACTGAGTAAACCTTTACAAATGAAAATTACTTAGCCATTAAGAACGATGTAAAATCTAAAGTGTTTTTTGAAAAAAAAAACAACACAAAAAACCACACACACACAAAAAAAACCAATGCCTTACCAATAACTGGATCAGGTGAAATGTTACTTCTAGTCTCCTTCCATGAGAGCAGGGTGTTAAGGCTGGAGAGATCTGCAGCTTCTATATAATTGTTAATTGTCAGCATCATCTGATGAGCTTTTGCTATTCCGTAATGAACTTTGGTTTCATCCATCAGAGGCACATTTGTTAGCTCTGCTGTAGTGTCAAAAGCTTGCTGGAAGTATTCAGAAGCTTTGTTGTAGTGCCCCTAAAAATATAAGAGAAATGATTTTTTCTTAATTTTCAGTTTACCATTTCACATGTCTTACCACCTGGACAAGTACCACACTGTTCTTTCAACAGTTATAGCAGTTCATCTTCAGGAAGAAAGTGATGGCAAGCAGGGTCTCTGTTACAACAAGGTTTTCTTTAAACATCAGGATTACTAACGGTGCGATTCTTGAAGTTAATTCACTAAGGAAGCCGTATCTATCAGGTTGAACTATATGAAACATACGTGTTTTGGATTAAAAAAATATTTAAATATTTGGATTAAAAATATTAAAAAAATTTAAATATATAAAATAAAAACCATTTTATATGGTTTTACCTAATACATGATAGCAAAAAAGTTTGGAAAAGAATGAATCAATTCACATTGATATGGATGGTATTTTCTTACTTGTAGTACTGGATTTACCTAATGAAATATTTTTAACTAGCTTTAGCTATTAGACACAATACAAGATAATTTCCAGCCAAGCTGTTAAGCAATCATCAGTGAAGATAGATGTATGTGTCTGTTGATTTAGTATTTAGTCTTGTTCTACCACATGCACATGCAATTCTTGACTGCGATTAAAAGAAAAAAAAGATCTTGGTAGGACTAATACCACCTAAATGATCGTTTAAATGTCCATCTCTTCTCCAAGTTCTCTGCAACGTTTTAAATTACAAAAATTAAAGGTCTTTGTTGTTGTTCTTTTCTTTTTTGTTGTTGTTGTCATCCTCACCTCTCCTCCTAAAAGTTATTGCCCACAAATGAATAATGTTTCTCTAACTTTTATGAAGTATCAGGGCCAGGCCCAAGGACTTCATATATAGTATGTCATTAGCTTTCATAAGTCATCCTATGAGAAAATCTTATTTTACAAATGATGAAATTGAGTCTCAGAGAAAAGATTGTCTTCTGCTGCCCCCAAGTCTTCTGAAAATTCTCATTAAAAACTTCCTCAACGAAAGATCTTTTTAGAATTGAGCTATGTTTATAAAAACTCTAGGCAACAAGATTTCCTTTCTTTACTGACATAACACCTGGGCTCCGTTCTCCTCTTCCCTTCCCTGCCCTACCCTCACCTTACTCTCTATCGAATATACACAAAAACTTACATGCTTTCTCTTTCGAAAGGAAACACTTATAAGAGAGAATGTTTTGTTATGGCTTTGTGAGTCATTCTCTAACAATATTTTATGAAGGAATTAGAAATAAAAAAAACCCAGAGTAATAGCTTTATACTACACACCAGTTCAGGTAAAGTGCACAGTCAACTCTCCGTACCTCTGTGTAACTAGAGTTCAGAGAGCAGTCAAATTGACTGAATAAAGAAGCTGCTGGCAGGTGAGGAGGGGGAGAAAGAGGGCTTACGTGACAGTGATGAGCAGCACATATAACACTGTTACATGCCCACAAGGACAGTTTAGGTTTGCCAATTTAAACAAAATCCTTCCACATTATACAAATAATAATTTTTGTTTGCTGAGATGAGCAATTCTTTCTCTTATTTCAAAGTATAAAACATAGAATAATAGAATTTATATGAGAATAGGATTACTTAATTAGGAAACAAAACTATCAGATATGTATATGCCAATTAGTAAATTAGATGATTGAGAAACAACAGAAATATTGAATGTGAAAGTAAAATTCATTGAAATTATAGATTGTCCTGCTAGACATCAAAGATATAGGATAACATATATGATTAGACCAAATCTTTCTATTTCTAATGTGTTTTTTTTGTTTTGTTTTTAATTTCAGAGAGAGAAAGGGAGAGGGAGTGAGAGATAGAAACATCAATGATGAGAGAAAATCATTGATCAGTTGACTCTTGCACACCCACTACTGGGAATTGAGCCCACAACCTGACCAGGAATCAAACCATGATCTCCTGGTTCATAGGTTGAGGCTCAACCACTGAGCATCACCGGCCAGGCCAAATATTTCTATTTTTAAAAAGAGAAGTATAAATATCTAATTATTGTTCTATTTATAATTCTGAGCTTTAGCCTATTTATTGTTTTAGGTGAGAGGCTCAGGAAAATTAGGGACCAGGAATAATTAACATATAGTTGAATTTCCAGAAATTTTTTGGTATATTACTTCACTTATGTTAAAACAAACTCATTCATTCACCCATGTATTTATTGGCCATCTACTATATGCCAGCCCCATACCACACATTGGGAATTCAGCAATGGAACAAGTTTACAATCAGGAGGTGAGCTAGCTGTCAGTGTATTTATGTGCCTAAAATTTTTATTAGATCTTATTTAACAAGTGCTTTTTCTCCCTTAAAAATGGGAGCATTAAAATGAGGTTATCATTCTTTTTTAAGAAATTTTTTTGAAAGTATTACATATGTCCCCCTTCCTCCCCCACTGACTCCATCTAGCCCGCCCCCACCCCTCACCCCAGGCCTTCACCACTCTTGAGGTAATTATTCTTCCCTGAAATTGTGCCTAGCATTCAATCTTTAGACACACAACTGTCATAAAACTGGCATTAATGTAATTTCTCTAGTTTAAAACACTCTTAATAAAATACATTAATTCTCAGATGGAAGTGCTTTTATACATACCTTTTTGGAATGAGACATCATTAAGGTATATTATATTTCCAGAATTTTAATTCTTTAAGAGTTTAATATCTAAATTTAATCTATTCTCCAAAGGTTCTGTTTAACCTTGATAGTTCATTTCTGTTATCAGTTAATCCCTATCCTATTATAAAATTCAGAAGATTCTAGTAGTTAATCCTGGTAATCTTAAATATGAGTTTGAGAATATATAAATGAATTTATGCATTTCATGAATGCATCTTATTAGACAAGAACTTCATTTAATGTTATAAATATCACTGATAAGCACTTAGTGGACAATTTTAGGACAGGGTGTTGATGACATCATAGGCCTTGAAACAAAGCTTGTGTTATTACACTATAACATAGAATTTTCAAGCATGATTCTGATTCTTATTGGATCCTTTTTGGTGTCTAAAATGTTACTCTATCTTAAGCTCAGAACAAATGAGCATTTTCTCAGAAATAGGGAAGAATAATTTCGTACACATTTTCCCTACTATTTCCGTGTTGGAGCTATGATTGTTTTAACTATGTGATTAGTCTCTGATCTTATTAGGGAATGAGAAATCTCATGAAGTTATTTTCCCTAAAACATTCTCATTTGGACACTTTGTGTTAATTATATGTTTTCAATGAACAGTCAGTCCAGAAAAAGATCATCTGAGGAGGGCAGGATTGGTGGCCACTTTCAGGACTATGTAGTAAAAGGATTATTTTACTACATAAAAGAGAATTGATCTAAGATAAAGGATATTTTTAAGATATGTTAATTTTAATTATAATAACACTATACCAATGAGAGAAAACTCCAACATTTTTACAAACACAGTTTTGTACTGTGGCCTTATAATAATAATATTATTTCTTAGAAATTATTATTAGAATACATTATATATGAAACCAGAAAAGGTTTCATCATATGATAAGGGCCTTAAAAGGTAGACTGATGAGTACCATTAGATTTGCTTTTAAAGATTCACTACAAGTTTTCAAACTGCCAAAATATTGTACAAGAATAAAATATATAAGTTTAGGATTTCAGAAGTGAGAAAAGACTACTCTTCAGTTATATAAAATTGTTTATAAATTTATTGATTGATTCAGCAAACTAAATTTTTAGCTTGCCAACTCTGAGCCAGGTTCTCTGCTAGACACTGAAATAAAATAATAAACAAGGCAGATATGCTCTTTGTTCTCATTAAGCTTCCATTCCAGCCATATTAAACAACAATAGCAACAATAAAACATCACAAATAAGAAAACGGTAAGTGCTGCATGGAAAGCTAACATTAAAATGTGATCCGCATTTCACTAGTAATGGCCTCTTGAATGAGATACTTTTATTTTATACTTTTTTCTCGTCTTTCTCTCTTCTTTCCCATAACCAATCTGCTGGTAGGATTGCATATTTCCTTCAGAACTGCTCTTGGGACTGACTGTCCTTTCTTCTCCTGTGGGACCTAGCAGAGGCCTCACCGCTGGGTTAGTAAACGAGAATTTGGAGCAAGAGCCACCAATGTCAGTGTCAGCTGGTGAGAGCCAACTATTATAATGAAGTTCCTTTGAATTTAAATATTTTAATTGACCTTCACATCTGAAATTACTTAGGACCTGCACTGGCTGTGAAGATGGGCATCAAGGTTGGCAGCTTGTGGTGACTGTGCCTGACATGGCACTCAGGTCTTGGAGGAAGAGGAAAAAAAGAGATGGTTCTCTTTCCAGTCACTGCCCTGTGCATCAACTAAGTGCCGCAGTCCTGGGGTCATTCTGCACAATGTATGGGGGAAAGTGAGGATACAATGGGAATAGAATTTTAAAGCTACTTTTTCTTCCCCCATAAGCAAGAAACACATATACTCACTTTTTCATTGTAGATGTCACCAAGCATTGTACTTGCTTTCACAACATCTAGCTTTTGAAAATTGTTTCTTGCCAGTTTCACAAATTTCTTCAGGTATGTAATTGCTTCTACCATCTCTCCTTGGCTAGAATAAATAAAACAGGAAACTATTGGAGTATCATTTCACTTAATATCACAGTGAAGAGAAGATCTTCTGCATCTTTTGCTTTAGAAGGTTATCAGGATAGTGAAATTTAAAGTGAAAATACCAAGTTAAAAATACATGGCTTGATTTTGTTGGAATATATAGTAAGTTACAATGTAAACCTTTTAACCTTCATGCATGGCTGGTGGAAATGTAAACTGCTGCAGCTGTGTTGGAAAACAGCTGGTCAATTCCTCAGAAACTTTGACGTAGAGTTATCACATGACCCACCTATCCTACTCCTACATATATACCCAAGAGAAATGAGAATGTGTCCATACAAAAACTTGTACATGAATGTTCATTACAACATTGTTCTTCATAGCCAAGAAGTGGAAACAATCCAAATGTCTATGAATGGATAAACAAAATGTCATATATCTGTACAACGAGATATTATTTAGCCTCATTCGTATAAGAAGGAATGAAGTATTGATACATGCTATTATATGGATAAACATTGAAAACATACTAAATTAAAGAAGCCAGCCACAAATAGCCACATATTATATAATTCCATTTACATGAAATGTGCAGTAGGCAAATCCATAAGGACAGAAAGTGGGTTAGTGATAACCAGAGGCTGGGGAGAGGGGCATGGTGAGTGGCTGCTAAAGGGTGTAGGGCTTCTTTTCAGGGTGAGGAAAATGATCTCAAATTAAACTCTGTAAATATACTGAAAGTAACTGAACTGTAGACTTTAAAAGGCAAATTGCATGGTATATGAATTATAATGCAAGAAAGTTGGTTTTTTTTTCAATAAAACCTTTTAAAAGTTTATGAAAGGTGAATGGTAGTTTGTTTTTGTCAGCATCCCTCGGCAGTGAAGTCTCAGGCATCCCAGAAGTTACCTATACAGGTGTCATATACCGGTAAAATGCCCAGAAAGATATCATTTCTAGCAGAGTGCTTGGTATATACCAGCCATTCATATAGTTTTGAATGAAGCAATGGTAGAAAGTTTGAGATGGGAACCATTTATGCAGTAGACATGAAGGTCAAGCTTCCAGGTAAATTGTGAGAACCCCAGTCATGGGGTTGGATGTTTGAAGTTTATGACTGTAAACTCCTGTCTTCTGGATATTCCAGTAATATCAAGAAACCTAGAATGCTAGTTTCTGGGGAATATGGTTCCTGCTTTTAAAGAGTTTCCTGTCAATTTGGAGAGATAAATATATAAATTTGTGCATGGGATTAACTGTGACGGGTACGATGAACTGTGTATAGTGCTTTGACACTTGGAGCATATTCCCTTCAATATCCTCCTCACAAGAACACGTCTAGAGCTTATTGTGTAAATTTGATCGTAAAAGGCAGCCAAAGGATTTGGAGCCAACTCCAGGGAATACAATGGTGAACTCAAAGCACCTATATAAATTTGAAAAACTGTCATATGTTTGAATTTTGAAATGGATCACATGTTTAGTGTATATCGACTCAGGCTCCTTGCTCTGCTCCCGGGCCTCTTCATTCTGTGCCTTTCCTCAGGCCTTAACACACACGCTGGGAATCCTGGCCGTTAACATCCCATCTTTCTCCAAATGGTTCTCCCTCTACTGTCCAGAACTTCCAGCTGACCCGTTTTCTCATATTTTATCTTCCTGGGTATCTTACTGACATTAGAGACTCTACCCACCCAAAGTTGACTCTTTCCAGAGTTCTAAGACTGTCCTCCCCCTCCACTAGATGCTTACTATGGGCAATTTCACATGCTCTATGGCGTGCTCTAACTCCCATATGCACACATGGAAAATCTATATTTCTACCCCTCATTCTCCCCTGCCCCCAGACTGTATTTCCAAATGTCCAGATTTACTAACATGCAAAGGAACAGAATTTCCTCCAAGTGGTTATCTCCAAAGATGTCACCTAGTGATGAAGCTGATGGCATCTTGGAATCCCTCTTTAGGAAACATCTTCATAGTGTAGGTTTATTATAAAGCATTAATAAGTAATTTAATCAATTTTGTCCCCCAAATGGAGTTAGCCCTAGATATTATTATGTGTTTTGTTTTTTTTTAAATGTGACTCTAAATCCTTTGGCTGTTTGCAAATATCAAACCTACCTCTCAAACAAAGATGCACATCTATAGGGGTCATTCAAAAGAATATGCCAGCCCTGACTGGTTTGGCTCAGTGGATAGAGTGTTGGTCTGCGGACTCAAGGGTTCCAGGTTCGATTCCGGTCAAGGGCATGTACCTTGGTTGTGGGCTCATCCCCAGTGGGAGGTGTGCAGGAGGCGGCTGATCGATGTTTCTAACTCTCTATCCCTCCCCCTTCCTCTCTGTAAAAAATCAATAAAATATATTTTTTTAAAAAGAAAATGCCACAAGCATTTCAAAGGTGTGCAATTTATTATTATTGTTTTTATTTTTATAAATCTTGATTGTTGAAAGAATTCCATATGTCCCCCCCTTTTTTAAAAAACAGGTGGTAGCAGGATTAGAGGTATCAACTTGCATAACCTCCCAAGATTTGACAAGGACCACATGCATGTTCATAGATAAGCTTTAGTATGTTTATAAAAATCAGGTAAATTGCTTTAAAGTTGCAGAGTGCTATGGTGCATATTAGAAATATCTAGCCATGAATCCTAAGTTTGGCCTTTTAATTGAATAGCTTTGAACACATCTTCCTCGGCTCCACTTTTCTCATTTTAAAAGTGACCACAGAGTGTTGTGCGATGAAAAATTACATGCATGTATAGCCTGGCACACAGAGATTCATTAAATGACAGCTATTATTATTATTATTATTATTATTACCTCTCAGTGAAGTAAAAAGTTATCATACCCACAGTTCTCTGCTTGATAGAATCTACCACCAGCTGAGAAGAAAAGTCAAATTAGCTAGACATTACTTCCAGAAAATCTTTCATTATGAATGAAACACCATGGTTTGAGGGGACACTTTGGAAGACAGATAGGCAAATAAAGTCCTACTATTTTCTACGGGACATGTGTCAAAGATCTAACACTTTTTGTTTACTTGAGTATCAGGCACTATCAAATGCATTATTTTTTCCTTTCTTACTGGTAAGAGAATGGTTTACATATAAGAAATAGAATGGAATTTTACATTCCCAAAGTTAATATTGCCGTTTATGATTCAGTTCTCACCTTCTCATAACAAAATTATGAATAATCTTCTTCTCCATTTAGGCATGGCTCAATTCTCCAGAAAAAATTATGAGTTTTATGAGGATTATTTCAAATGCAGACATGAATTAAAATATAAAAAAAGGTATACTCATTGTTTTAATTTAAATATTTGCTTCATGGAAAAACAAAAATGATAGAGAACTCGAGTATAAAAATATAAATAAATATATTAAAAATTTTGAGCAAACTCATAAATTTCTAGAACTAAAAATATTTGATCAAATTGATGTTAATTCTCCAAGCTCTTTCTTGGATAGTAGTATTCAAGAAAAAAAATATGACATAAGAAAATAGAGACTTCTTTGCATATCACTTTAAAAGCTTAGGGGAAAAAATTATTGTTTTTATTTAGCTAAAATGGACTCACTGAAGCTTATTTATGTTAATGTTGCTAAAAGCTGATATATTTTTGATGGAAGTATATTTTGAATTAAATTTGGCCTGCTGAGGATTGTTAAATCACAACATATACAATCAAACAAAAAAAGCACAACAAGTTCAGTGTATAAGAAATACAAAATAGTATAAATAAAACTATTGCTGGGTGAGTCGAGTTGTTTTCCTCCCAAAGGAGCAACAGATCTCCAAAGCATTGAAAAGTATCTGGAACTTGCTCTAACAAATAATGCTACAGAAATAGCCTTCCCATTATAAATTATATGCTCCACTCAGTGAATACACAGTTCTATAGCCAGCAAAGCTGTTAATATAGCATCTGAAATATAAACATTATATGTTGCTTAAAGGATTTCTAAATTTAAAAGTTAGCCTTAGATTTAGAAGCCAGTCTTTCTTTAGAAGGGAAACAATAATTTTTTTTTTATCACAGAAATGCTAGGGATTACTTGAATGAGTTCAAGGACAAGGTTAAAATGTTAGACAAATATTAATTCCAGTTTTCTATATGCAGTGCACAGGTGCAACTTGAGCAGCATATTATATGGTATAATCATTAAATTCATTCAACCAGACCTTAGAGAGTTAAAAACATATATTCTGAGGAACAGGACTCCTCGGTCCAAAGAATGAGAATGAAACAGTGCAGAATATTTGTGTATCAAGGTGATTCCAGTTTCCAACTGGGAAAACAGGACTGTTAACACCCACATCCCCTGACAACTGTCCAATTATGTATATCACACTTGGCCTACTGTTTGCAGTAGAAGTAATCAATAAAGGATGTGGTTGAGTGAACATAGATTTTGGTTGAACCAATGCATGAAAACTTAATCATTTACTCAGAGAGAAGAAATCAAATAGAGCAGAGATGAAGCGGCCGCCGAGGGGTTTGTTGATTGTGCTACCAAGTTTGTGGGCCACAGATGAAAGCAATAAGGCAAATGGAATCAGTGACAGGAGAAAATGTAAAACGCTGCCCTTAATTTCATGAATTAATAGAAATGTTTTGATGTATTTTGGGGGGTCATTTTTAGGAGATTTCGCATCAAAGCCTGAATGTTCCATTTTAAAGAATATATGGAAATTACTAGGGCATGTCATTTCTCTCAAGCAAGAAGAAATTAATTTTCAGCTGTAACAGAAAGGTAATTTTCAAACTTGAAACTTTGTACTGATTGATTGAAAGATGTCCACTGTGGAAAGTTTTCTAGGAAATAACTGAACCCGAGTTTATAAGAAAATTTACAAGGGCTATGGAATAAACCCAGGCCAATTGTGACCAAGGTGACTTGAACAACTGTCATTTTTGTAATTTCCCCCCTATATAAGCCACCCTGATTATGTTGGAGAGTTGTGCCGTTTTAGTAAATGAGTTATTTCAGAAAATGAGGCCAAAAAATGCTGTAAGAAAAATTGAGGTTATTCCCCCTTCTCTATTTACTCAAATTGTCTGTCTACATATAATAATATTTACTTGGTAATTTCTCAACTCACTGTCTCTTTGTTTTATGGACTATAATTCTGGCTTTTATAGCTGTGTCATGGGCAATTGTTATGTTAGAATACTGACTCCTTTTTCCCCCCACTAGTATTTCAAGTAGGAAAAAAAGGACATTGTAAATGCCTATTTTCTGTTAGGCTGCTTAATGTTATTCAGACCAATAGCAAAAATAACAAACCCGGCTCATTATTAAAACCTGCATCAATGACTCTAATACCAGGGATAGTTCTAGCATTACCAACTGAGCAGCTCTACATTACCAAGTCCTCAGCCTGGAGGGAATGTCTGTGTTTTTCAGTTGAAATCACAGTATAAATTCTTATAACCATTTTAGAAGCTTCCAGCCTTAAAGCCTATTCACCCTTCATGCACGCTCAGCTGATGGCCTCAGACGCACACTTATCCCAGACATGGCTATCCTCTTCCATTTCCTTTAAAGAGATAAAATATGTTTATAGAGATAGGGCTTCCCATTAGTGAAGCCTGTGCAATTGCACAGGTTGGGAAAGAGATTTAGAGGTGATGCTAAGCTCCATATGCAGCTTGATTTATTCCTCAGCCGACACCACCATCATTTCCTCTATTTTTGTTGCACTCTATTTCTGCTAATTTGAGGACAGTTTAGGACTATGAAAGGGACATACATATATGTGTGTAAATGTGTGTGTGTGTGCGTGTGTGTGTGTGAATATGTGTCAAAAAACCACCAAGCCCTTGAAGCAAATTTTTTAAAAAGATCACAAAATTCATATCAAAATATTTCCAGTAAGTAGTGAGCTTGATTTACTAAGGCTTCTCAGATATTTTGGGTGCTGATGTTGCCTGTACAGAACTTTTGGTTTTGACACATCTACCCACCTCTCGAGTTATTTTGCACACACGGAGAAGAACATGCCAAGGCTTACACTCCCGGGAGCGCTCCTCCATGACCACCAGCAGCACTGCAGGTTTGGATTGGAAAGCTGTTGTGGACTTGGAACACTTTTGCCCTAAAACCTCACAAGAAGCATCTCCTATATTCTTGTGTGCTGCATGACATTATTAAATGTAAAGCCCAAAGAAATCATCAACAGCTTCATCTGCAATTTGGTTGATGAGAATTCTTACAGGTGGAATTAGTTTCATTTGGAATAAAAGTGAGCTAGGGAGAAGTCTTCCTGTCCATTATAGGTTTGCCCCAAGGCAGGTTGCTGGACTGTTGAGAATATTGGAATTGAATTGTCCCTATGACTACCCCAAACACACCCCACTTCATATGTCAAATCTTCCAAAGCAATATTCTTTTCCACACCTGCATCCCAAGTAATACTTAAGCAGTCAAATTAAAACATTAGATTGTCTGTTGTTGTTATTGCCAATATTTACGTATAATTGTTCAACTCCTGCCCAGCTTTTACTGTACAGACCAGAAATTCAAACCCTGGAGGGGAGACACTGAAATATCCCAATGAAACACTAGGCCAGTGATGGTGAACCTTTTGAGCTCAGCGTGTCAGCATTTTGAAAAACCCTAACTTAACTCTGGTGCCGTGGCACATAGAGAAATTTTTTGATATTTGCAACCATAGTAAAACAAAGACTTATATTTTTGATATTTATTTTATATATTTAAATGCCATTTAACAAAGAAAAATCAACCAAAAAAATGAGTTCGCCTGTCAGAGGTTCGCCATCACTGCACTAGGTGAACAGGTGAGAATTAGTTTAAGATAACCGCATGTCTCCAGAAGTTTCAAAAATAATTGTATTTTTGGAACCAAACACTTGTCTGTTCAATATGTTTACAAAAGAAAATATCTTCCCCTGGAGTTTTATCTCTCTAGTTATGTTGGGACACAATGTCATTTTGTAAAAATTATTTTATAAACACATTAACAGACACATTTATTTAAGTGTATGGGCTCAGGCCAGGTCTGCTACTACAAAGCAAGATAAATAATCCAGCCAGTTTTTACTGATTCTGGGCAGTGCTAACAGTAGGGCTAAATAATTTAATAATCAAATAGAGCTGGACAAAAGGGCATAGAGCTTATGTGTCCCACATAGGCACGAAATTGAATACATATGTATCTATTCTTTGTGTTCAAACATTTGCTTCTTTCCCGTTGTTATTTGTAAAGTAAAAGTGTAAGGGACAGCGGGGTTGCTCTTCCATGGTTGAGTCACTAATCTTTACCTGGAGGAACCATGACACTCATGTGGCTCTGCCTTCCGTGAGCAGACGTCCATTCTCTCCTTAGACATATGTCCATGTCCTTAACCATGCACCCAGTGATGACTGCCTTGCCTTTTATTTGGCATTTTGTAGGGCACCTTTTCGTTCATTGGTGTTGGATTTTAATATTTAATTAATTATTTATTTAGCACTTAAGGATTATTACATAATGATGACGTACTCTTACTTCCCTAGGCATATGATGTTTTCAATGACTTTTAAATAACAATTTTACCTTTTAAAACACCACCCTGTATATATTTACAAGTAAAATATAAATGAGAAGAAATTAAACTTGACACAATCTATACCTATATTATTACTACTATCATGATTATAAAGCTGTATCTTGTAAATAAGATAACATACCCAAAACCAAGGTCTTAACTTTGAAAACTTTTCTTACCAAATCTTAGACTACCTTGCCTTACATTATAATGCTAGTGGTGCTCCTATATGATGCAATGCTTAAATGGAGTGTACAACAGACACAGCGCAATGAGTGAAGGGCCACTCATATACTTTCCATGGAAAAATTTGTATCAGAGGTTTTTCATGTATACTTTCCTTAAACTTTCTGTTTTAAGTGAAATTTTGGGAATATTGTTTTTGCACCCAATTGTTTCTCCAGATCTGCTCTATGGAGAGATGTCTTAATGGAAGCAGCATGATTGAAGCATAAGTGGACAGTTTCCTCCAAGAGGAGATCTGGCAAGGCGCGATGAGCCACAGTGACTGAAGCGTACTATGTACTTCTATGCTCTCTGCTTTTTTAACCTGTGAGATGTGACCTGATTTTTCCCTTTCACTCAAGGTCATCACTAAATGTACAGAAAATAAAAAATAAAGTAATACAAAGGAGGAATAGACTGAGAAGACTTTAGACACATAGCTTGAAATACCACATTGGTTTAAAATAACTTATGATGAAAGGGTCACTTAAGAAGGGCACTGCTTAAAATTTAAGCAGGCAGTAATGGAAAGCGACAGACCTCAAACAATTTAAGTCTTTCACAGTTGAGTGAATTCACAGTGACAGGAAGACGAGGATGTGCTAACTTACCTCTGCAGGACTCTGGCTATGGCTTCATAGGCTCTCCCCAGGCTGAGGTCATCCTCCAGCTCCGTGGAGATCTCACCGTAAGTGTTGAGGTCCTAGCAGGAGGAGAAACATATGTGAAACGTACAGCACAGCCAGAGTGATTAAAATTAATAGTTGTTTTTAATGTTTCCATAAACTATTTTTTGTTTATTAAAAATTCATGTTGGTTTGGTTTATTTTTATCTATAGTATAACTTGTTTCACAGCATTCTCTTTAAGCCGTGACAGTGAGGTCTTACTTTCATGGTAATAATTCTTTTCCTGCACAATCCAAAATCGTCCAATTTATATAACTTAGGTGTGAATAAATAATTGAATGGCTTGCACCATTATTTTAAAATATGGGACTATTACCTAAGGTAATATAAAGCAGGTTATAATATTCTACTACGGGAGCTTAAATATCACTTTTCTTTCTATAAATAGCTGTTTGAAAAACATGAATTTAGGTGCCAGGCAATTTCTAAATCTATCATTTTATTAGATGCATTTCTCACAGTTTGTACACATATTCAGTATACACTAAAAGTATTTCTTACAAATGTACTTCATTACCAACAATCTCTTCAATAATCAAAAGATTATGGCTGCCACAGTCTAATGCATGATATTAATTTAATTTAATTTAACGCCGACATCATCTGTATGGTATCATTTTTCTTTTTATTCCTTTCCCCTTTCGATGGCCAAGAGAAGGAAAATACGTAAAACAAAGCCCCCATTCTTTCTTCTTCTTTCAGTGTTATTTGAACCAACCTATTACACACAGGAGGATACAGGAAATCTCCAAAGACCTCTATGGAAATCCTTTTTGTACATTTTCTAAGAAAGAATTAGTGAGAATCATTTGTCAGTGTTGGGAGAGTCGGTATGAGGGAGGACACCAAGATGAGCGTGGACCATGGCCTGAACTCGGAAGCTCAGATAATTAAGTATTAGAGGCAGTGTTGGTCTTCTTCTTTACTTCCTAAAAGTTAATAGTTGGGAAAAAAATTTAGAGAAGGCCATTGGGATACCTCATAAGATTTGGGTTTCCAAGTGAGTGCTTGGCAGATACTCATATTAAAACTTACTGATACATGCCGACCCAGTTTAATTCCCACTAAACCTGCAAAGTTCAAATGTTTAATTATCATTGTTAAGGCTTTTAATAAACCTGTATAAACCTGAGAATATTCTTCTCACTTGGTCTTGCATACTGACAACACCTAGACTTAGTTAGATATGCCTTGACATAGACCTTTCTGAATTAAGGGGAAGAACTCCAAAATTTTGTGAATTCATGAGGCCTGATTGAATCCAAGTATAAAAATTTAGAAAGCAACTTTCTAGTATCTTTTTTGGTCCATATATTTTTATTTGACATTCTAGAGCTTTAAGATTTACTATTATTTCAAAAATAGTTTGTTTTCAGCAAATATTGTTACCGTGTGCCAGGTGCTACATCATACCCATGGAAATCTCAACTAGTAGAGAGCATGCTTGCAGTCCTTGAGGCCTGATGCAATTGTGGGAATTAGTGATGACTGAAGACAGGTTTCTCCAGGGCTTACGGCGCTTACACTGTGCTACTCCCCCATGCCTCCGGCCACCAGAGGCCCTGAAGCAGTACAATAACATATGGGGGTGCCCAATTTTATTTCAGAGGTGGGACTCTTCAGTCCAAGGATAAGAGGGTAGGTGCCCAAGTAACTATAGGTAGATGCATCCATGTTGACAGCTCTCATCTCACACCAGTGTGCCATGCTTCCAGGGAACAGCAGGGCTCAAAACAGCTCAGTCTGGGGTTAGGTTTTGGCTTCAGACTTGATTCTATAGAAGCTTCTTCATAGAGCCAGACGTGGTATGGATGCTGGAATGAATACTAACCATAGAGTAAAAAGACTCGGTTCAAGTTCCAGTTCTTTCATGCTCAACATATGTGGGCCAGGAAGGCTCCCTAAACTTAATTTCCTCAGAAGTAAAAAAGAAAACCCACTTCTGAGAGCTGTTGTGAGGCTACCATAAGGTAATATAGAGTGCGACATTGTAAACCTTAGGACAGGGAGTCTCTGGGAATAACCAGCCATCGGTGAATGACTCCTGGTGAAACCTTTCTACCTCAAGGTAAAGACTCAAATTGTATCTGTGGTTTGAGAAAGTTCCTGTATCTCCTTTACCTACAAATAGGAAATACATAGTCAGTGGGAAGAACACAGGTCATCACTGGTCCAATAGGGAAACAGTCAATTACATGAAATCTATGTTGAGGACCTTGGTAAGTGCAGTAGAGGAGCTCATCTAAATCAAGGACAAGGACCCTGTTCCTCAGGAACATAGCACTATTGCGAGAAAGTAAAGTCAGGTGAAATCATAAGGAGAATTCAAGGCAAAACCCAGCAGATTGGTGAATTGTATAGTTCAACCTGAAGGGAGTAGAAAGGACAACGTTAAAATGAAAATTAAGAAAACCCATAAAAGTAAGTGGAAAGAGAAAGTGAGATTATGAATTCTGAAGAAAATAAAGATGTTTTATATTGCTCTCATAGTAAGCAACCTCAAGTGTCTTTTAAAGTCGGCAAGGTATAATTTAAATTTTAATAAATATTGATCAACTAGAATCCTTAGACAAAGACTAGAACCCCTTTTCAAAGAGTACTTCAAGTGATAAGCTACAGTGTGGAGATCTGAGGGATCCCCTGTACTTGATAGACTATCCCATGACACGCAATATGCTGGAAACAAGTCCAGGGCCTGGAAGATTAAAACCTAGCATCACAAATAGAAGAAGAAAGAAGAAAGAATCTCAGGTACAAAAAATTTTGTTAAATTGAATATTCATTATATATATTTAATTTTTATAGACAATGAACCTAATCAACCTTTATCAAAAGACAGAGGAAAACACTGATTAAGCATACTACAATGTAAATTTAAATGAACACCAAATTGTGCATGATAATGAGGTTGCCAAAATTGGAAAAGTCAGGTCACATACCTAATAAAAACTGAGTGCTACATGACCAGTAGATGAAATTGTTTCAATGATTTCAGTGAATAATGGAGATGAAGGTTTGACAGTGATTTCACTGCAATGAACTCTATCTTCCCACTAGAATGAAATTTATTTACTTGGAAAGATATTTTCAAATAAAATCCAAGTTCTTAAAATGAGATAATTTATATCAGTCACCTAAAAACAAAATTAATAGCAGCAGATATGAAAGTCAGGTATTTGTAAGTCACTGATACTAAAAAAGGTAACTACATGCTATTTTCATTTCCTCTCATTATCACTTTAAGAATTCTTAATAATGCTCAACCTTCAGGATTAATGTATTATACAAAGAACTCCTTTAGTACATTCCATTAGCTAAATAGATGTAACTGTAAGGTAGAATTATATATGTGTAAAATGTATCTATTATTTCAATTCAATTTCAATTACAGTTGACATTCAATATTATTTTTTACTAGAGGCCCGGTGCACGAATTTATGCATGAGTGGGGTCCCTTGGCCTGGCCAGAAATCAGGACTGATAGGTCTTGTCCAGTTAGGGTGGGGGGTGGGGGAGGGACCGTGGGAGATTGGCCAGCTGTGAGAGGTTGGATGTAGGAGTGTACTGACCACCAGGGGCAGCTCCTGCATTGAACATCTTCCCCCTGGTAGTCAGTGCATGTCATAGCGACCAGTCATAATGGTTGCTTGGGCTTTTATATATATATATATATGTATATTAGATATAACCCTGGTCTTAAAGATCTTACTATATAAGGCAATAAGACTTACAGACATTGAAATTGTATAGTGCTTTAAGTCTGCAGTAAGGACTAAAAATTTAGTCCAGGGACATTGACTTATTAAATACTGAATGGCTTCTATCTTCCAAGCTTCGATCTTGGTGCTAAGGACACATCAGAGAGTAATGCAAAATCCTTGCCCCCACACAGTCTACACTGTATTTAGATTATGAGGAGATGATTTGGAATGAAATAAATAAATAAGTGAATTTCAGCTAGTCATAGGAACATTGAAGAAAATACAACTGGGAAAGGCTTCACCTAGAAAGAGAAACTCAATCTGCATTTTAAACAAATGATAGGAGCTGGGTCAATAGTGAAGAGGGGCAGCTTGAGCAAAGGACTGGAGACAGAAATGAGTGATAAAATAAGGGGAAAAAAGCTTTACCGGGTACAGAGAAGCCACAATGTCCAATATAAAAGTTTCTTTGAAAGGTCATACATAGAATGTTTTGTCTAGTAACATGGACCAAGTAATCAAAGTTCTAATTGATGACATTAACTGACAGACTTTCCATGTGCAATTTAACTTTCTGATTACCAAGAAAGAATTTGGTTATTGTTCTAAAAGTAAGGCTGGTCATTCCATTTCATCCATTTATTCTACCTGCACATAAAAGTGGTCTTTTTCAGGACTTTTTTGTCTTTCTACTCTTGAGGCAGCTCAATGTGCTTGGTTAAAATGTGCCACATTCAAGATGCAGCAATTGGCTGCCTTGTTTCCCATGATTCCAAGTTTTCAAAATTTTATCTAGAGTTGTTCCCATGTCTAGGGAAAGGAGAGGAAATATTTTTCTTTCTCTCATGGCATAACCTAGAGCATGCACAACTCAAACTAATACTGATCGGTGGTGTGAAGTTTAAATGGGCCTTGTGCTCTGCCTGGTGTCTCTATCTACCATTGTCTCTGCAGGAAGCTAACCCAATCCATAGAAACTACTATGTAAATAAGTTCTTGCATCCAGTCCATTTGATGTGGAAATTTTGTAACACTTGTAGTGAACTCTAATCTTACCTTTACATCATATTTCTGCTATTTTTTCCTATATACAGTATATTCCTTCCTCCAGTTACCACCCTCCACCCCTCTGCTCTCTCTTAGTTATTTCAATATTTGAAATCAGTTGGGACTTTTACTCTGAGGGGATAGGCCAGGCTTTGGAAGGGCCTTATGGGATAATTAATCAAATCTCCCTCTGGGTGCTCCAATTTTCTCCAAATATCCTAAGCTTTCAAGTCAGGCAGGCCTACTAAGGAGCTGACATGTATCGAG